AGATTTTCAGATTTGGTATGCTTCACCTGTAATATTACACATCCTAAGGCTGCTGGAACAAATTACCACAAGCATGGTGGCTTAAGAAAAACCAAAAATGTCTTATTCTCTCAGTTCCGGAGGCCAGAAATGCAAAATCAAGGTGTTGGCATGCCTGCATTCCCTCTGAAAGCTGTAAAGGACAATCTATTCGTTCTTTCTTCCAGCTTCTGGGAGCTGTTGGCATTCCTTGTATGTGCATAACTCCTGTCTCACCTGGCCTTCTTCTCTGTGTCTCTCTTGTCTCTCATGGGGTGACTTGTTATTTTATTTAGGGCCTACTCAGATAATCTAGGATGATTTCATCATGAAATCTTTAACTTATTTAATAATTACATCTGCAAAGACCTCTATTCCAAATAAGATTACATTCACAGGTTCTAGGGGTTAAGATGTGGACATATCTTTTTTGCGGCTACCATTCAACTCATTACAATATCCATCAAACCTGTTGGTATGTAGGTGGAATGAAGAACTTCTGGTATAAGTGTAAATTGTTAAACCTAGATTGGAAGACATTTTGGCAATAAAACAAATAACAAAAACAATAACAGTGAAGATACATATGTCCTATAAGTCAGCAGTTCAGCTGTTTCATTCCAGGTGTACGTCTATTCAGTGGTACTTAAAGTATAGTCCATGAAACCCTGGCGGAGTCTCTGAGATCCTTTCAGGGGATCTAGGAGACAAAAATTACTTTTGTAATAATACTTACAAATTATTTGCCTTTCGCCTTGTGTTGCCATTACACTGATGGTGCAAAAGCAAATAGAACTGCCGCTGCCTTAATATGAATCAAGGCAGTGGCACCAAACTGTTCCAGCAGACGTTGTGTTCCTCACCACCCTGCACCCACAGCAAAGATGTGCCACTGTTATGGAAGAATGCCCTTGAATGAGCATTTAAAAACATTCGTTTTATTAAATCTCTGCCTATGAGCACACTTCTCTTTAGTATTGTGTGACAGCACAGAACATGCGCACAAAGCTCTGGCACGTGCTGAAGCGTGATAACTGTCGTGAAGAAAAACGCTTAATGTGATCGTTTGGGTTGTAAACTGAACTGGCCGTTTTTTTTTTCATGGACCATCGTTTTTGCTTAAGTGACTGACAAACTGTGGTTTATTCAGACTTGGGTATTTTGCATGCAGTTTCTCAGAAATAAATGAAGCAACCCTAACTCTTCAAGGAAAACAACTAATAGTATTTATTACCCCGTGATAAAATTCGAGCTTTCAAGTGAAAATTAGGATTCTGGAAGTGCTATTTTGCCCACCACAATCTTTACAGCTTCCCAAAATGTCTAAGACTTTCTGATACGATGGGTGGTGACATTAATCAAAATGATCTTTTCATATTCTGTAATGAGGTATGTGAGCATTTTGGACGATCTTCGTGACTTGGTGAACCAATATTTTCCAAATGACCAAGGATGATTTACAAAATCATACACAGTTTGTAAATGACCCATTCAAAGTACAAGATAGACAAATGGACAGTTCACTGACAGGGTTTCTTATTCCACATCACAGCTAATGTTTAAGCAACTGCTACTTATCAAGTTTTAGTGTAGCATTAGAAAGGAATGTCCACAGTTGTCTGTAAAGACTATCTGAATACTCCTCCCTTTTCTAACTACATACCATCTCTTGGAGGCCAAATTTTCTACCTGTGCTTCAACCAAAACAGTATGTTGCCACAGGTTGAACACAGAAGTAGATATGAGAATCCAGCTGTCTTCTGTTAAGCCAGACATTAAAGATTTTCGTTAAAATGTTAAACAGTTTCTCTCCTTTCACTGAACTTTTATGGAAAATGTGGTTATTTTAAATTTTAAAAAATGTGATTTATGTTAACATATAGGTTTATTACTTTTTTAAAAAATAAATTATTAAAGGTTTTTGCAGTTTTAATTTCTAGTATGGTAAATACTGATACATATAACTGTATCTATAACCATGTAAATTAAAACTCTTTGGGGTCCTCAATCATTTTTAAGAGTGTAAAGGGGTCCTGAGGCCAAAATGTTTGAGAACTTCTGTCAGTGCTCAGACTACTGTTTGAGAACATTAGAGGCACATGAACTAGGTTGCAGTCAGCATTGTTTAAAGTTAAAATAGAATAGAAAACATCGAGGATAAATATTATGGTTAAAATAAGTCTGAAAGCCACTGGTGTAGAGTACTCCTGGATAGATAGATAGATATGGAAATACAGATAGATACATAGATATAGGTATAGATATACATATATACATACAAATATCTATAGATAGATATATGTCTATAGCTGGCTAGCTATACTAGGAGATAAATATGATATTGTTCATAGAAGCAATGTTTGAAATAGTAAAAAAAAAGTCACTTGGTTGTAAGTAGGAGAACAGATAGATGAATTGTGGTATATTTACATATTATATCATGCTCAATGAAGATGAAAAATAACAGCTATACAAATCAACGTACAAGAATTAAAATTCGATTCCTTTTATAGGCAATTAAAAAGCATGCAAAACTCAATGATAATATTATCTAGCTATACATGCCAAAGTGATATGTAAAGAAAACCAATGACACGATAGATAGTTTATTTGTAGTCATCCTCTTTTCCTCAATAATTTCTTTTTAGTTTATTCAGCAGAGGCTTACTTCTGTGTCAGCTTTCTCACCCTCATCTGCAGCCTGTAACATCCTGCTACATACAGATTTCTCCATCTTGGGAGGAAATTTAAGAGGACCTAGAAAAGAGACTCATTTGTTCCAGTGGTACAGGACTCAACTTTTCAGATTTCATAATAGGCTATAACAGAAATAGAAACCATTTCTGACTTTGGCTAGAAGGCAAATCAATAATAACTTTCCCTGTTCAAGCCTGTATTTGTTAGAAACTATTTGCTTACTTAATTGTGGAAAGTGGTGTTGGATAAATGTGATAAAACAAAGGCTATTTCAGTATAATGTTTACACTTGATCTTAGCCAAAAGGCCGACAAGCGATTCAGTGTAATTTTTAATCTCACCAAATACAGCTTAAGAATAGTTAATATAGTAAACTGACATAAAGAAGATAAAAAAGTCAAGAAAAAAATACATTATAATAAAATAAACAACAGTGTACTCATTAAGTACATTGTTGCCATAGATAAAGCTGATTGTGACTAAGCAAAAAAGTAACTTACTAAAGGATATTCAGTGGTTCACAAAATCTTTGAGATGACTGGAGACTAAGCTGCATGGTAAGAGTGTTATTGTAGAGTATGTGTTATCATCTTTTCCAAGTAATACCAAATTGTTTTCCAAAGTGATTGGACCAATTTCTAGTCCTAAAGGAATATGTGAGAGTAGTAACTGCTCCGCATCCTCACACTTCCTTGCTGGGTGGTAAAAGGGTTGGCCCTGGTTACCAGTGACGTGACAATGCCAAGGAAGTAGAGAAAGAACTGGCAGCATTGGATTTAAGTAGCACAGAGGTACTGGGCAGGAACTGGGCAGGAACTGGGCAGTCCTGCTCTTGAGTATGTACCGTCTGAATCCACAGTGCAGCGGGAGCCGGGAGTGCAGAGCAGTGTACTTGCTGCAGAAACGGTTTCTCTCAGGAACTGGATTGTCAGCCACTGTCACTGCTGATTACATGTGGCAGATATCTTCCTTCACTCGGATCAGGCAAAATTCTTAATTAGACTAACAGACTTCGTAGTAAATGTTAAGTGACATTATGAAGAAATTATACCTCTATGCAAATAGTGATAATATGCTAAAAACAGATGTAACATATTAACAGTTTAATTTTCCCATTGACTAAGACTGTATTTTTTCTTGTTTTCACCCTTTCTTTCTAGAAATAGCAAGTGAAGAGGAATCTTCAATACCTTTCTACTCTCATCTAAACAGCGAAAGCTCCATCCCCGAAGACCTGGGCAGTCCTGCCGTTGAATACGCACCATCTGGATCCGTGGCGCAGGAGCAGCCGGGGAGTCCAGACCACAGCGTACTTACCAAAGACATGGTTTTTTCACAGGAACTGGAATCTTCTACCTCTCCTAGTAAACATGTAAGTTAATGTATATCTTAAAGATCCTTTAGTAAAAGGTATATTATTAGCAGTTATTTGTTGCTATTAGTGACAGCATTATCACCCATACTTGTAACATCAGAATATAACATTTGAATAGAAATAAAACTTTCCATTGACTAGTGTAGATTTATAAATATACAAATTATAGCTTTAATGGCAGTTATAAAATTATATGCTTCAAGTCTATTAATACAGTGGAGATAGGGACTTCTAAAGTCTTTAATAAAGATAATTTATAGGAACAACATGAGTTCTTTTTGAAATTTGTGTTTTGTCACATAACAGAAACAATAAGATCTTAAACCACACCAGAGTACCTTCACTATAATTTAGTTAATAACTACTGTATAACTAACTCATAGTAAGAGTGAAAGTAATGGTTTCATCTCTTTAAGGCAGATCTGAAATGGTTATTGATTCTAAGTTAGAGTAATGGTCATTATTAGAATTAAGATTTTTTTTACATGTCCTTAATTCTGTACTTCATAGAAAAAAAACCATCTGGTAAAAACTCAAGATAGAAACTTAACCGTGTTTTTAACGTGATTTTATAAAGTATAGGCAGTCGCTGGGCTACAGACAACCAACTTAATGGTGTTCTGTACTTACAAACAGACTCTAAGCCTCCGCATAAGGAGGATTTATAATTAAGTAATTAGATTAATAATTTGGGAACTAGTTTCTTCCACACATGTAAGGAAACTCGCGTGGCATAAGCAGTTCTTGGGTTCTTGGGCACAGCGTCTTTACGCCAGCAGCTGGTCTCGTTGTTCATACAGGTGCTCACACACAGCATCACTTTCATCGGAACTTTTTTACTTGATTTTTTGAGTCTGTGTTTGTCCTTGTGACCAGGCCTCCAAAACAAAAGTCCACTGCGAGTCCAGGTGAGTCTGCGGTGAAGAGAAGGGTGATTACAGTGAGAACAAAAGTAGAAATAAATAACGAAGTGTTGGGAGAAAGGCCAGATGCCTTCATTGGGAAAGCGTCAGGCCTCAGTCACTCGACTCTCAGAGCAATTATGAAGGATACAGTTGGAATAATGGACCATGTGGCAGGCAGTGTGAAAGCATCAGTTATTACTAAGCAGGGTAGTGGATTAATTACTGAGATAGAAAGGTCATTATTGATTTTTTTAGAAGATCAAAATAAGCATAACATTCCCATTAGCGTAGCATTGATGCAACTTGAGGTGAGTATTAATCTTTAATATTCTTTTTTGAAATTTCTCCTATCTCCTATCTAAACTTTTTGTATGAGTTTGTTTTTATGTTCTGTTTGTCTGAATTAAAAGAAAGAGCACAATAGTTTCTGTAACTTATTACAGTACAGGGGTATATTAATATTATAGCATTATACTTTATTATTATTACCACATATGGGACATTATAGTATTGTTGTTATTATTATTACTATATATTCCCTGTTCATGAGGGCTCTGTGTTATATACAAATCCAACCTAAAGACATTCTCAGAAATTCATCTTGTCCATAACCCAGGGACCACCTGTATATCAAGTAATTAGCATAACAATATTAAATATTTAGTGAACACAGACATTGTTAAAGCTTCTTTATGTTTAAAAAAAAAAAAATCTACCTAAATTCAGAATGAAATATCCTTTGTTAGAGTCTTCGTTTTTGGGGAAGTGAAGAATTAACTGCATTTCCTCTATTGAAAAGAAATCAGATTCATGTGTGTTACAGCACCGAAAAGATTTAGAGGAAAAACCTTTTTTGTTCAGTGAAGAGCCTATTCCATATTATGTTGAAAATATCCCATGTCCTCGTACACATACTTGAAATCAGTGTTTTTAGATTATAAAAGGCTTATAATTATCATGTTAGTGGTTTCTTATTTATTATGTGATAAAACTAGGCCTGTATAGATAATTTTCTTGTAGCATTATCTATTATTATTATGTAAATTCCTACCTTCCAAGAATTTACAACCAAACTGTGCATTATGACACAATCTTATTAATCTATTAATCCTTACAAATTGATTAGATTTTACCTAGCATGATTTTTGAGGTTCATGATAGCCACAAACTGATTGAATACTAAAAATTAGGTTTTTTTCTCACCTGAAAATACATCTAGGATATCCAAACTAGTGTGTCTTAAAGTGGTTTTTATAATAAAAGGTAATATTTATTGAGTGTTTACTTACCAAGTACCAGATAGTATATTAAATGCCTCACATGGATTATCTCATTTAATCCTCACAATAGTTTTACAAAGTAGATACTGTTCTAATCCCCGCTCTAAAGATTAGTAGGCTGGGAAACTTGCCCAAAGTCACAGGGGTAGGAAATGGTGGTCGCTAGGAGTCACATCAGGCATTCTCACTTCCACTTCATGTCAGGGTAGAAATTTTGACTTTTGTAATAATCTCTTGTGGGCAGTCTTATGCTCTGTTTTCTTCTTTCCTCCCTCCCTCCCTTCTGTGAAAGTAGTACATATTTAGTATTTTTAAATTAGAAGAATGGGGGGGGTAAATATCAGTGATATAACAGCCACTTTTAACTTATTATAGACCTTGATAAAAGCATGCTCTTTTATTACTTTTTTCCTATGCTTTTTAAAAATATATATCCTTTGTATATTAGAAAACTTTTTTCACTCATGTCCTAGGGTTATTTAAAACTCTTTGTAAATATTATCTTTAATTGGCTAGTATCTCAAATTTTAAATAGAATTTCACAACTATATCACAAAATAGTTCGCATTTGGTTTCCTGTCTCAACAGTCACCTCCCAAAAGCTGCACATCTGTGTCAAAGCAGGAGTCTGGCAAAGGAAGTCGTAGGACTGGAGGACAATGTCGTCTGCCTTTCAGGTCCCATCAACACTGTAATAGTTGGTCAGATGAGTCGTTGTCTATGACACAGTCAGGTAAGACTCATAATGAGTTTGTTTTCTTCTTACTATTTTCGAATTCCTCTTTAATAAGCTTTGTCTAACCATGTGCCTAGTATACTGTTCTCCTTTGTTGTATTCATAAAGGCTTTTTAAAATCAAGATTAAATCATATAATTCTTTGCTTTTCATATAATTATTTCCCTAATTTCACAAAATATGACAAACTATTCTCATACATTAATGGACAGTCTTTTTTTTTTCGAGACAAAAATCTCACTCTGTCACTCGGGATAGAGTGCAGTGGCATGATTATAGCTCACTGCAACCTCAAACTCCTGGGCTCAGGTGATCCTCTTGCCTCAGCCTTCCGAGTAGCTGGGACCACAGGTGTGCGCCACCATGCCCGGCTCATTTTTTCTGTTTTTAGTAGAGACGGGGTCCCACTCTTGCTCAGGCTGGTCTTGCACTCCTGACTTCAAGCATTCATCCTACCTTGATCTCCCAGAATGCTAGGATGATAGGTGTGAGCCACCACGCCGGGCCAACAGACAGTCATTTTTTACATATTCATCAAACATTTGTTAAATATTTTTCTATGTGTCAAGCACTGCCTATATGTTTCCAAGTACATTGTTCCACTCTGTACTTGAATTTGTCACAACCAAACAACACAGATCGTAACCAGACTTTGCCCAGCAGGTCTCTCCTACTGGACTATAAACTCGTGGAGAGTAGGGTCTGCGTTTCTTAATTGTAGCACCAGGCCCTAGCAGGCACTTTACGTTGTACCTGGTGGGTATTTATTAAATGTTTCTTGAATAAATTAGTGATAACTGAGGAGACAGAAGGTGGAGGAGCATGATGGCACAAATCTCAAAGGAGGAAAAGTAGAGCAATCGTAGACTGCAAATGGCAGTGGGGAGTGTTGTCTATTTTTCCATCACCTCGGGGCATCCTGCTACAAATCTCTGTAGTGAACAGATTATGGAAGAATGAATAGCCTCTGCTCTAAAAGGTTTCAAGGACTTTGACCTTGGGAAGCATATCTAGACAGACAGCGCTTGGTTTATGTAGGGTCGTGAGGAAGATTAACACTGTATTGAATGTCGCCATATTGAGTATATTGCTTTTTGAGCTCATTTTTAGTTTTCTTTGAGAGTAGACATTTAGTAAAGGAAAAGTGAAAAATGTTCTTCTTTTTTTGGTCTTCGATCCTGTGCTGTACCCTTTTGTTTTCCATGTGTCAGATAATAGTAAATTATGTAATTTTCTCACACCCATATTTATGGAGCTCCTTTATTCTTTGAGTAACTACATGATATTTAAAAGGGTACATGTACCTTCATTTATTTAACTATTTTCCTAGTGACCGTTAGATTTTCTCAAAATTTTCACAGTTGCAAATAATACTATAATAAACATTTCATATATGTATATATATACAAACACACATACATATGCAGTCATACATCACTTAACATCAAGGGATATGTTCTGAGAAATTTGTTATTAGGTGATTTTGTCATTGTGCAAACATCATAGAGTGCACTTACACACACCTAGACGGCATAGCCTACCACACACCTAGGCCGTATGATATAGCCTATTGCTCCTAGGCTGCAAACCTGTACATTGTGTTGCTGTCCTGAATACCGTAGGCCACTGTGCCACAGCGCTAAGTATACATGGTATTGTAATCTTATAGGACCACCGTTACATATGCAGTCCCTCATTGAATTGTATATAGCATATGACCGTATATATATATATATATATATACATGAATGATAAAAAGTCTTATTGAATATTTCAGTAGGGAGTAGATTCTTAGAAATACAATTATCGGGTCAAGCCAGTTTGAAGAATGTTGTCTTTCATATTTATTTGTGGATAGTTATTTTTATATATTTGAATGTATGTACTTTGGCGAAAAGTTATTGCCCATGGAATAACATGTCAGTAGACATAAACTTGATACTTGGAAACACCCAAATGGGTTCTTATCTTGGATCTGTTACTTACTGGTGACTTTTGTCAAGTTTCTTTCCCATATTGGGCTATCTTTTTCCATCTGTAGCAGTGGAATAATGTTTTAACTTCCTTGCATGAGTTATGCACCAAGGATTAATAATAACATTTGTAAGATACTTTTTTATTGGTAAAACTTACTCAAGAATAAATGGTTTTCGAAAAGCTTGGAGATTTCCAAACTAGTAGAGTCAGTCTACCTGTTCATGATGACATCATTATATGATGTCATGTATAGTATTTGTAGAAGTGGAGTAGTAAATTTTAATGTAGTGGAGTTTTATATAGTACCTTTACTTAAGTGTTGGAGAGTTTGTTATTAACCAAGTTAATACAATCAGTATATGTCAAATAATTAGGAACTTATTTTTTCAATCAAGTTATTCTGTGCATCAGGTTAGTTTGTCTCGACATGTTTCAACAAACTAATGTATCATTTGCCGACACTTCCCATCTCTCTCACCTCACAGAAAACTACAGGAGAGAATCCCATAAAAATAATATATTTATCTAGAGAGTTGCTTGGGTGAAAAAAAAATTAAAGAGATTCTCTTAGACATTACTGATTATAAATACTATGCAGTAATACTAGATGTAGGCAGATATATAATGTATTTCCCTTTACTCTCTCATAGGCTTTTATTAGTCTCTAATTGCCTTTCATTTGTTTGCCTTTGGTTTCTTTAGTACTTAAAAATATAAACATTTTGCCAGGTCTTTCATCTAAAATCTCTGAAGTTTTTCATCAGCTGCTGCTAGATCTTCGCAGCCATAGATGGTAAAGATATTTTTAATTAGAAAATCACTGCTGACATACATAGTTTTTTAAGTAATCACTTTTGGGGCAAAATTGAAACGAAGACTGTGGGAGTGCAGTGCTCTCCAAAATTTTATCAAAGTAACATCTCAAGTTTTGGAAGCACATAAATCTTACCAGGCTAAAGAATACACAGTTTTAGAGGATCCAAAGTTATGGGTTTATACTTTTTAGAAAGATTATAATTTTTAGCTCAGCGTGCAACCCTGCTTCCAGTTATTATACGAGAATCATCAGTTGAATCAGTATGAAGCCAGCACCAAGTGTTCAGACCTTCTTAACCCTGAAACCAACTGATTATTTTCTTCAAAATTAAAAGAAAGCATGAGGGATGAGGAGATGTTCAGATGTTCTCCTCCTCACCACCACCTTTTTTAGTTTTAAACCCAAAAATACACTACCTAAAATATGGCTACATAAAAATGTTTGTTTTGTGTTAATATTCCTACCACTGTTTTAAAAATTATTTTTTGACAATAATTTTATATATTTATCATGTGTAACATGTTTTGAAAAATGTATACACTGTGGAATGGCTAAATCTAGATAATCACATAGTTATTATTGTTTGTGGTGAGGACACTTAAAATCTACTCTCTTAGCAATTTTCGAGAATACAGTACCATTGTCATTAACTGTAGTCACCTTGTGGTACAATAGATCTCTTGAACTTATTCCTCCTGTGTAACTGAAATTTTATATCCTTTGAACAATCCCCCAGACTCCCGACTCCCAGCCCCAGATAACCACCATTCTACTCCCTGCTTCTACGAGGTCAACTTTTTTAGGTTCCACATATGTGATCATTTGTCTTTCTGTGCCTGGCTTATTTCATTTAACATAATGCCCTCCAGGTTCATCCATATTGTTGCAAATGACAATATTTCCTTCTTTTTTAAGGCTGAATAATATTCCTTTGTGTATATATACCACATTTTCTTCATCCATTCATCCATCGATGGACATTTAAGTTGATATGTATATTTTCTAGGCTCTGTGCCACATGGCTTTGCATACTTTATCTTATTTATTTTTCATACCAGTTCTAGGAATTTGTTATTACTTCATTTTATAAGAGTGTTGGGCGAGGTGCAGTGAGAAATACAAACATTTTTGGAGGCCACAGTGGGAGGATTGCTTGAGGCCAGGAGTTCAAGACCAGCCTGAGCAACACAGCCCCCATTGCTACCAAAAAAAAAAGAAAAATTAGCCAGGCATGGTAGCTTCTGCCTCTAGTCTTAGCTACTTGGGAAGCTGAGACAGGAGGATCACTCGAGCCCAGGAGTTTGAGGTTGCTGTGAGCTATGATAATGCCACTGCACTCTAGCCCATGCAACAGAGTGAGACCTGTCTCAAAAAAAAAAAAGTGTTCAATAATAAATAATGAGCTGTGCTCATGCCAAGGGCTCAGTATGATGACACTACTGGTATAAGATGGGTTTAACTTTCCTACTGTGTCTTAACTCAGTATTATGGAACTCTGAGCTAACAGGAACTCAAGTTTCATTATTTTTTTTCTTTTCTTTTTTTTCAATCTGACTCAGTACCCAATGAAGATTTCATTATTTCTAATCCAGATATTTGGACTACACTACAAAAAAGACTGTAATCTTTTTGTGTTTAAATAAATTCCAAAACTAGTTCTTATGCAATTTAATCCAAAGTACCTGATAAAAATCTGGCTTATGATATGATGTTGCAGTGCACATTTGAGTCTTCAGATCTGTATACGATAGTATTTCTGTTGTAAGGCTATTATATGTCTCACTCAACATTGGTATATGGAAATGACATCATAATGTGGTTTGAGGAAGTGTGAGGAACAGTAATTTCTATGCATGCAATTTCCATGTTTAGTGATATGAACAGTATCTTTAAACAATACCTGTTTGCTTTCATAGCATATGTATGACAATATAATGAAATATCTTTTTCATAATGTTGCTATGACTGGACATCTCGTCAGTGTATGAACTGTTGGGGAGAAAATAAAATTTAATGAACTTGATTTATCTTAAATATTTTTAGAGCTTTCAAAGAAAGATTATAGCACAATATATTTCTTTATAATTTCTCTCTTTTTAATGTGGTATTAAGACGTCAGCTAATGACTCAATCAATGTGAAATGGTAACATTCTAGTTTGATTTTAATATGACTTAAAAACTGTTAACCTATATGTTAGTAACTAAGGGGAATGACAGTTAATTATGATTATCTTGTCACCAGAAATAATTCTTGGCAGAATATCCAAATTTTACCAATTGGAAAGTTTTCAACTTCCAACTGCTTATCTTACCAAGATAGCATCCCTTGAGATTTATTTACAATTTCAAATAGTACAATTGGAAAGTGAAAATAAGGCCAGGTGTGGTGGCTCACACCTGTAATCCTAGCGCTTTGGGAGGCTGAGGCTGGAAGATTGCCTGAGATCAGGAGTGTGAGACCAGCCTGAGCAAGAGAGAGACCCAGTCTTTACAAAATATAGAAAAATTAGCCAGGCGTGGTGGCACACACCTATAATCCCAGCTACTCGGGAGACTGAGGCAGGAGCATTGCTTGAGCCCAGGAATTTGAGGTTGCAGTGAGCTGTGGTGACACCACTGTACTCTAGCCCAGGCAACACAGCCAGATCATGCCTCAAAAAAAAAAAAATAGGAGGAACCAAGGAAAAGAATAAAGAGGGATTTATGGGAAAGTAGGGATATAGTTGACTAAATTGTAAATTGTTTTCAGAAGCTCAAATTTCTTAATTTTAATTATTAGATTGACTTTATTTAAATTGAGTATTACATTACAGCTTTTCATTAATAGTTACTGTGTCAACTATTCTTAAGTTGAATTAAGTAAAAGAATTTTGTATCTCTTTCAGAAACTACATCTGACCAGAGTGACATTGAAGGTAGGATTAGAGCTCTGAAGGATGAGCTGCGGAAGAGAAAATCTGTGGTGGACCAGTTGAAGAAGGAACAGAAAAAAAGACAAAAGGAGAGACTGAAAGCCCAAGAAGCCAGTCTGATCAAACAATTAGAGGTTAGACATGGGAAGAAAGGGGTTTTGTATACGTGAAGCCTAAAATGTTTTTAATGTTGTTAATAAAGTCATAGATTAGGATTTTTCATTATTAGTATGGTGCCACATTTTATCCTAACTTGTAAAAAAAAAAAAAAAAAAAGGTTATCTAAGCAAACTCTTGCTTAAAACATTAAACTAAATAACAAGTATTAAAATAAATATTAAAATTAGCCGGGCGTGGTGGCATGCACCTGTAGTCCAGCTACTCAGGAGGCTGAGGCGGGAGGATCGCTTGAGCCCAGAAGTTCGAGGCTGCAGTGAGCCATGATCATGCCTATGAATAGCCGCTATACTCCAGCCTGGGCAATGTAGCGAGACCCCATCTCTAATTAATAAGTAAATATTAAAATAAGTTTTCTAAATAAGAAAGATTAGGCCTATGAAAGAAAGATTGGTGTCTATGCCCTCTTAAGCAGAGAACTGAACCATTCAATAAGTAATTCTAGCTTTTGGAGTTGTTACTGCTTTTTCTTTTTTCTTTCTTCTCTTTCTTTTTTGTAATTAGCAGAATGGTGTTTCGTGCCACACAACGTATTAGTAGAACTCTTTGCACTACTTGGATGGCTCCTAAATGATAACTCTAAACTTGACTCTTCTCCCACGCTCTAGCAGCCTTCCTGATTCTGTTCCAAGCTAAAAACCTGGTTTTGATATCTTCCTTATTGTTTCCTCCTGTCCACTTAGTCACCAGTTCCCATTGAGTCTTCTTTTGTAAAGTCCCTTGCTTGTCCCTCCCATTCCTGCTGCCACTGAGCTGGGGCCCTTATGACCTCTCGCCTCTGTTGTACGCACCGTCTCTTAGATGATCTGCCTCTGGCTGCTTCTCTGTTGCACGTGCTCTGCTAGGCGAGGATTCCAGAAACAGCACATTCATTGTAGAATTGGACCGAATCTCCTGTTTATCACCAGAATCCCTTCTTGTGTCACCACCAGAGAAGGTCATTCAGCTTCCGCCTGAACACTTCCAGTAATAGGAAATTTCAAATTCTCAAGGCAGTTGGTTCCGTTGTTAGATTCTAGATGCTCTAAGTGTTAGAGAGCTCTTTGTTGTATTAATCCAAAATTTCTACCCTTTTAATTTCTACCCATTGATCCTTGTTGCGTAACACCAAACAGATTGTCCCTCTTATATTTATTAATTTAATCATCAAATATTCAAATGCCTATTTATATACCGGGAACACAGTTAATTACACATATTTTTCATTTAATTCTCACAATATCAAGGTGTGGGTGTTATTATCACTGTTTCACAGGTAAGGAAACTGAGTTTCAGTGGATTAATTAATGATTTATCCAGGGATATACAGCTCATAAGTGGTAAAGCTAGAATTTTAATCTAGTTCTAATTTCCAAATTCTGTGCCCATAGCATTGTATGGTCACCCAGAAAACAAGCCTGCTAACAGATCTGGAGAAAAGAAGCATTTAAACAGATACATATTATAGAGGTGTACCAGAGACTGTAACTTTCAGAGATGTTTCAAAGTAGGGATAGTGATTAAGATATAATGACCATACCGGGGAGTTCACGTTGAAAAGTCATGGGAAACAAAATTTAAAAATAAAGATCATATTCAGGACCTTAGAAATCAAACTGGTGTGTTTCGACTTCATCCTGTCGATCAAGTTATGAGGAGCTATTGCAGTGGAGTGTTACTGGGAACAAAGTGCTGTCGGAGCAAATGGCGCTGCTCAACCATGTCCCCTCGTAGGTGTGTCAGTCAGAAAGGAGATTGTTGGAGAACTGCCCTAGGGTTCATCTGATTCACATCTGTCAAATGGCTTAAATAAAGACAAAAGAAAATTCTGTATCTAAGTTTTAAAATCATAGTATATGATAGAGAAATATATAATACATAGCAGTTCAATTAAAACTCTATAGGATTTTATTTAATCACAGATCTAATAAATGGACTGTACTCGTAAGTATAGTTTTCAGATATAAGTAGTTGCAGTCCTCATACATACCTAGTCAGCTAGACCATCTAGGTGTAGTATATGTTTAGTACCAGGAGTTACTTTATCAAAACATTGAGAATTCACGTTAAGGTGAAATGGCTGATGTGAGGTATGAAAGTAGGGATTTTAGCCCAGACTTTAGGGATCTGTAGCAGCTAACAATTATTCACCCATCCATTTATTCATTCTTGATAGCCTACTATGGGGCAGACATTGTGAATAGTCCTGGACGTACAGTGTCAAGTAAAACAGCAATAGTCTCAAATAGTGAGAGTTGGACAAGTGGGGGTTTTAGCTCGGAAAACTAAGGAGAGACGTAACAGATGGAGGGCTCCCCTTAGAATCCATACAAATTAATATTATAAATTAGTAAAGTTTTGTTTACAGAATGGGTAATGACCAGGACATGTTTTTTGTAATTCTGAACTATCATACTCGCAACCATATCCTTCCCTCTTCAAAATTTGTATCCCTGAGTGCTTATCACTTAAGAATTTTACTGTCATTGAAACTCAGAGCAGAATGGCTAAACTTTTGTTCCCCTTGTCTCTTTTTGTTCTCTTTTTTAAATTTTGATTTCATCCCATTTCTGCTGATAAACTTCTTAAAAATATCATAAAAGTAATAGCACATCCTTTAGAGAGTAACAATTTAATCAGTTAAGTTTTTTAATGTGGTGGGATATGAATTATTATTGCTTCAAAGTATTAAACGTCTGTAGATCAAGGTCGTCGTTTCTTCCTTAATAATCAGGATTGCAATTGTACATCTTGCTTATCTAGAGACTATTTAGAGAAGGATATACAAGTAAACTGTTAACCTATATGTTAGTAACTAAGGGGAATGACAGTTAATTATGATTATCTTGTCACCAGAAATAATTC